ATCCAGTCAGATTGGGCAAATCCAGTCAGATCCATAGATTTCCACGGCAATCTCGAGCAAATCGTGGCCGCTCCAGCGCGAGGCGAGGGACGGCAGAAGCCGTTAAGCCCTTGACGGAAGAGGGGGGGAGGCGCACCCCTCCGGGGACGCCCCCCGTAAAAAAAGTGAACGCCCCAGTGGTCCGTTCCCGTTCCCGTTCTCTCTCTCTCTCTCTCTTGTTCTTTCTCTCTCTCTCTCTCTCGCCCTCTCTTTTTTTTTTTCTCTCTCTCTCTCTCTATATATATCGCACTCTTTCTCTCTCTCTCTCTATTTTCCCCTCCCGCTCTCTCTCTCTCTCTCTCTCTTCCTCTCTCTCTCTCTCTCTTTCTCTCTTTCTCTCGCGTCCAGGGGGTCCCTGGGACCGAGATCGAAGAACCGCATATCCCCAAATCTTGCAAAACCATAAGAACATCAATAATTGCAGGTCCCTTCCGCCGTGAAAGGGGGATCAAGAGGGAGGCCCCAGAAAGGCCGCGGACGCTTGGAGGCTTGTTGGGCTCTCCTGAGAGGCCTCGCGGGGGCCTCTTAGAAACATGTGTCAGGTTTCTTGGGGCCCGTTGTGGGCTTCTTGGGTACGTCAGGGGGGATGTCTTGGGGTCTCCTGGGAGTTCGCTGGCGGTCTCGGAAGGTATGGACGGACGCCCATGTGTCCTTGGGGTCTCCTGGGATGTCCTGGGGTCAGACGCCTACGGCGAATCATCGTCGTAGGCGAAGGGGATAGGGAGGGGGAAGGGGATTGGGAAGGGGGAAGGGGATTGGGAAGGGGAGAGGGAGGGGGGAAGGGATGGGGAGAGAGAGAGAGAGAGAGAAGGTGAGGTGGGCTGAGAGGGGAAGGGAAGGAGGGGGCAGAGGGGGAGGATGACGACGTTGGCGATGCTGACGCTGTTGACGATGGCGATGACGATGATAGTGATGATGATGATGATGATGATGATGATGATGATGATGATGATGATGATGATGATGATGGCGATGCTGATGTGGCTGATGATGGCGATGATGGCGGTGATGCTGATGATGACTGGTGATGATGATGACGATTGATGATGTTGATTGTGAAGATGATGATGCTTATGATGATCATGCTGAACATGATGATACTGTGAATCGTGTTGATGATGATGGTGCTGATGACGATGATGATGGTGGTGGTGATGGTGATCGTGATAATGATGGTGGTGATGATGCTGACTCATGATGAAGACGATGTTTGATGATGATTACGATCTTGGTGGTTGTTGTAGTGATCATGATGGTGATGGTGGTGATGATGATAAGGATGATGATGATGATGATGGTGGTGATGATGATGATGATGGCGATGATGATGGTGATGATGATGTTGCTGCTGATGATGATCATGATGACGATGATCCTTCTCCCTCCTCCTCATTCCTCCCTCCTTCTCCCTCCTCCTCACTCCTCCCTCCGTATCCCTCCTCCTCACTCCTCCCTCCCTCCCTCCTACTCTCTTCTCCTCCCTCCTCCCTCCCTCCCTCCTTCTCTCTCCTCTTCCCTCCTCCCTCCCTCTGTCCCTCCCTCCCTCCTCCTCCAGCCTCCTTTCTCCCTCCCTCCCTCCTCCCCTTCTATCCTCTGGAAATTGCACGGGCGGCGGGAACGGGAACGAGAACGGGAACGGGAACGGGAACGGGAGCGAGAACGAGAACGGGAACGGGCACGGGAACGAACCCCTGATCTAACGGAAGGGGATCCATGTGTTCCACTCGAGCACGACCTGGGTCAGTTCACCTCGGGCTGTCGATCCTGGAGAGCCAAAGGTGGCCGCAGGATCAAGGGGAGAGAGCTTCAAACGGGAAGACGTGTCCCAGGACCACCCCTGGATGACAGACCACCCCAGGATTCTCCCTCGCACACGCAGACTGGGTCGGCGGATTTGACGGGATACTGCGCATGGCAAGAGGGCCCGGAGATCACGGGAGGGGGTGTGGAGGGGAAGGGTGCAACAGAATCATTGACAGGGATATCTAGGCAAGTTTGGTGTGCGAATCTCGGAGCCCAAGTAGTTTTCAAAATCCCTGGACTCCAGGGCCTGACCTGGCCGATGATCCACAGTCCCAGCCTCCAGGACCCTTATTGTCATTCGGTTGATGAGTCCTCCATGCTTCAACACGGGCAAACACATGAGTTTCCCATGTGTTGTTAAATACCAGATTTCAACGAAACAATTGGTTATCGATATTTTGAGTTATCCGTGCGAGGGGCGGCTATGGCTCGAGTCAATAATTTGTACAGTCGAGGGGATTCGGGTTTGGACTTTCCTTTTTCGCACTGGCTTGGAATCTCCTTCCCTCGCGGACCAAGGGGTCCCCAGCTTGTCATTTCTGTCTCGTTTCGCTCCTCCTCTCTCACTTCTTCTCTTCTCCATTTGTCCCTCCCTTCCGCTTTTTCTGGCTTTCACCATCCCCTCCCCGTGCCAAGGATGCGAGCTGCTTCTGTGGAGGATCGATTGGGCAAGCTGTGCTGGGTTCGCGATGGGGAGGGAAGCGATGTCTATCATTTGCATGATTAAAGCGCCCATCAGAGTATGGTGAATTTGGTGTCAATAGGACAGAAGGGTGTTGTCGGGCGCAGCCAAATTTGCTGTCAGCGGTTCAATCGATTGTTCGATTGGTTGGTTCGTTGGTTGATTAGCCGATAGATTGGTCACCCGTTCTGCAGCCAGGTTCAGTTTCGGTCGGCCGAGGGTGGAACCGGTTGCGCAACCCACGGCGCAACCTATGACGCATCTTGTGACACAGCCCATGGCGCAATCTATAGCGCAACCAATGGCGCAGCCCATGTCGGATCTCATGGTTCAACAGGTGGCGCATCCCATGGCGCAGCCCACTGCGCAACCCACGGCTCTACCTGTGGTGCAACCTAAGCGTAATTCGTGGATGGCGCCACGTGTGGCGCATCATGGCGAGTCCCTCCGATGACGCAATAGCCTAGTGGCGCAACTCATCGCGCAATTTGTCGTGCAACCCCTTGCGCAAGCCATGGTACATCCTATGACACAACTCATGTCGTAACCCATGGCGCAGCACACGGACGAGGGAGGGAGGAGGAGGAGGATAACAGAGGACAACGACGTCGACCACGACGACGGTGTCGGCGACGACGAGGCCAGAGCCGAGGAGAAGCAGCTGGAGTGAGCTCAAAGCACGGTAGGTGTCGTGTCGTGTCGACGCAGCGGCGATCCCGGCGTGGGCGTTCAGTCTCGGGGACTCGGCAAACATGGCGCGATTTGGCGATCGGAATTCCGCCGATCGTTCAAGGCAGAGCGATCCACGCGGTGTGACGAACGAACCCGCAGGGATCGCCACGACACGAACCCGCCGTTCGGAGCCACGTCCGAGCTTTGCTCGCTGTTTGAGCCCTGTGGTGGGCCCGAACAGCGCGCTGCCCTTTGATTCCGCTCTGTCCGTTCGGCTGGCCGACGCCGGTCAGCACCCCCTGTCTTGCACCGGGGGGGCCAGGCGCCTCACATGCACCCGTGGTACCCTTGACTCGGACCCCTGCCTCCCTGAGAAGATCGAGGAAGAAAAACACCATAAACATAACCCCAGGAAGCATTTAAGAACCCCCCCCCCCCTTCCGGCAAATCGATAACCCTTCCGCACCCTGGAAGCGTTACCTGGCACCAGGAGCCCTCCTCCTCCTCCTCCTCATCCTCCTCCTCCTCCTCTCCTCCACCCACGAACTTCCTCCTGCCCCCTCCTTCTCCTCCTCCTCCTCCTCCTCCTCCTCCTCCTCGAATTTCGATTGTAGCCCAGGGGCCAGGCCTCCGCGAATTTGTTGTGTGTCCGGGTGCTAAACCTATCGTGCCGTTATTTCGGCCCCTCGGAATATCGAATAAAAATGCGGTGCTAAGATATCGCCGGGGGGGTTCTTAAATGCTTCCTGGGGTTACGCTTTCGGAGATCTGCGCCGATTTCTTGGACCTGCGCTGGATCGCCCTGGTGGCGCCGCCACTGGCGCGCTCCGCGCGCCAGGGAGGGTGGATCCAGCGCCGATCCAAGAAATCCGCGCGGACCTTCGAAAGTTTACATTAGGTAATGCCGCTGTTTGTTCCTCGGGCAGGGAAAGGAGGAGCAGGAGGAGGAGAAGCAGGAAACAACGACAACGAGACGACACCTCCAGAGACTCGCAGGAGCATCACTCGGCCGCGTCGTCCGACGCGGCACTGCTCCTCTCTTTTCTTTTTCCCAACCATCCTGTGGCTTTGGGTCCTCGTTTTAAAGAGACAGCGCCCCGCGTACCTCCTCTCCTCTCCTCTCCTCTCCTCCGCTCTCCTCCTCCTCCTCCCCCTCCCTCCTCCCTCCTCCCGTCACCCCCCTCACCCTGGCACACCCCTCACACGTTTCGTGGCCTCATAGGGAGCTCCACCGAGCGGTCAGAATTGCCCAGCCCGCATATGTCTCCCCCAGCCAGTACAGCGCTTCATGGCCCCATAGGGAGCTCCACCGAAGGTCCCAGTGGCGCAGCCCGCATGCGTCTCCCACACCCAACACAGCGTTTCGTGGCCCCATAGGGAGCTCCACTTAAGGTCCCAGTGGCGCAGCCCGCATGCGCCACCCACACCCAGTACAGCGCTTCGTGGCCTCATAGGGAGGTCCACCGAAAGCTTCACTAACGCAGCCCGCATGCGCCACCCACACCCAGTACAGCGCTTCGTGGCCCTCAAAGGGGGCTTCACCGAAGGCCCCAGCGCGCAGCCTGCGTGCGTCTCCCAGACCCAGTACAACGCTTCGTGGACCCATAGGGAGCTCCACCCAAGGTCCCAGTGACGCAGCCCGCATGCGTCTCCCACACCAAGGACAGCGCTTCGTGGCCCCATAGGGAGCTCCACCGAAGTTCCCAGTGGCGCAGCCCGCATACGTCTCCTACGCCCAGTACAGCGCTTCGTGGCCCCATAGGGGGCTCCACCGAAGGTCCCAGTGGCGCGGTCCGCATGCGTCTCCCCCGCCCGGTACAGCTGTTCGTGGCCCTATCAGGGGGCTCCACCGAATACGATACCTACAATTGCGGTGGTCACAACTGTATGTGATTGGGTCCTTCGCCAGGCTATTTTCCTCCGTATGCTCCTCATGCTCCTCCTTTTCCTCGTCCTCCTTCCTCTTTTACGGCGGGCAAGCTTAAGCTGAAATGCTGAAGCGTTTTAGCACCACGGACAAGAAGAACGCCGACTTAGGCGGAATGAGCAACACATTAAAGTTGCGGCGAACAGATTGAGGAAGAACGCCGTACAGGAGGCGAAATATACGTGCAAGTGAAACAGAGGAAGGAGTAGTTGCTTGTTTGTTGTTCGAGTACACTACAACTGGACTGGCGCCGCGTAAACAAAAACATGTCACTCCAATTATTGTCATGAACCTACTCTCCACCACCCTACATGTAAGCTCAAATACCGAAGACAACAAGCTGCGCATGGCGGCCGGCACAGTTAGACTTTTTTGGCCCGAGAAGAAGCAGACAGTGGCACAGCAAAGATTGGTTGGAGTAGGTTGGAGGCCCTGAGGGCAGCAATTGTATCAAATAGGGAAGTAACATGTTGTCGGTAGTCCACATTGGGATGGGCCCTGTGTTTGTGGGCCTGTCCCCTACCGACTGGCCGGATACTGTACAAGGGGCTGACGGGATCAAATTGGTAAGCGTCACGCAGCAGTAATATCCTCCTTCTCCTCCGCTGCCCACTAATTTCCCTCCCATCACTTCCCAAGTGTCTGCAGGCTGGTGCAAAAGCAGGGCTTGAAATGAAGGGGGCTAATTGGGCAGTGTAGGCTAGCACTTTCTGACGGCTGGCCTGTCGGTGATGGCGGCGGGCATTAATGTGGTGCGCTGGGCGATTACAGAACTGAGGTGACCGTGGGTTGACACAGACAGTACTGGCTGGCCTATTACGCAATTTAGTTGCAAGGACACAAGTCTGATTCGACTGTAAGGCTGGCACAGAAGCAGCTGGCCTGCATGGTCATATTGTTCCCTCGGTGTTGATGCGGAAACGTTCCATTGCCCGGTCCCACCCCAAATCCCACCCACTACCCACAAGCCAATCCGCACAAGAGAAATTAGGAAAGCGCGCCAGTGGATGGCCCTGAATATACAAAAGAGGGGGTGTGCTCGCAGAACCCCCCCCCTCCCCCCTTCAAAGGGGTGGTGAGATTTTCGACCCCCCCCCCTCCCCCCCTAAGGGGGGGAGGGGTAAGGGGGGGAGGGGGGTCCGATCCCCCCCCCTCCCCCCTTGAAGGGGGGGGGGGGGTCCAGACCCCCTCCCCCCCTTTCCCCCCTTGGCGCTGGAAATGGGGGTGGGATTCGATCCCCCCCCTCCCCCGCCTTGCGCCGAAAAGGGGCCGGGGAGGGGACCTCTCGGGTAGTGAGGAAAGAGTATAGTGTTTTGAGTAGCGCTTGATGAGACATGGGTATTTGATAGTGAGTAGTTCTCAGTGAGTCGTGAGTAGTGACTAGTGGGTAATGGGTAGTGGTAGTAGCGAGTAGTGCGTAGAGGTTAGTGAGTAGTGAGTAGTGAGTAGTGCGTTGTGAGCAGTGGGAAGGAAGTAGAGAGTGAGGCATTATGAGTAGTGAGGAGTGAGTACGGTGTAGAGAGTAGTGCATAGTGAGTAGTAGGCAGGGAGTAGGGATGAGGGGGTAGACAGTAGCGAATAGCGAGGAGTGAGTAGTGAGTAGTGAGTAGTGCGCAGTGAGTAGAGAGTAGAGAGTAGTGAGTAGTGAGTGGTGAGTAGCGAATAGCGAGTAGCGAGTAGGGAGTAGCGAGTAGGGAGTAGCGAGTAGTGAGTAGTGAGAAGTGAGTAGTGAGTAGGGAGTAGGGAGTCGTGAGTAGTGAGTAGTGAGAAGCGAGAAGTGGGTATTGACTCGTGAGTAGTGAGCAGGGAGTTGCGAGTAGAAATTAGTGAGCAGTGAGTCGTGAGTAGTGAGTAGCGCGTAGCGACTAGTGGCTAATGAGTAGGGAGTAGTGCGTAGCGAGTAGTGCGTAGTGGGTAGTGAATATTTCTTATTGGGTAGCGAGTAGCGGATAGTGAGTAGTGAGTTGTGGGCACTGAGCAGTGAGTAGTGAAGTGTGAGTAGTCAGAAGTTAGTAGTGGGTAGTGAGTAGTGCTTAGTGAGTAGTGAGTAGTGGTCAGTGAGTATTGTTGAGTGAGTAATGAGTATTGAGTACTGGGTAGTGAGTAGTGAGTAGTGCGTTGGGAGTAGTGAGTAGGGAGTAGGAAGTAGTGAGCAGTGAGCAGCGGGAGCGTTGTGAGTAGTGAGTAGTGGGTAGTGGATAGTGCGTAGCGGGTAGCGAGTGGGGCGTTGGGATCAGCGAGTAGTGAGTAGGGAGTACTGTAGGGAGATAGTGAGTAGTGAGTTGTGGGTAGTGAGTAGCGAGTAGTGAAGTGTGAGTAGTCAGTAGTGGATAGTGGTTAGTGGGTACTGAGTAGTGATTTGTGATTAGTGAGTAGT